TCTGATTGACCGAAATGGCCCCTTAGAAGGCCTCCCCTGCTCGTGGGCCTTGCCACCTGAAAATTCCTATTATAGAGTTCTGTAGATACCTTATTTCATTCGTCTGTAGTGTTCGGGGACGACTTACTTAGTGGTTGTTGTTGTTGTTGGCGCCTATTGCCACCATCGTACGAAGTCAAACTAAGCCTAAGTGATACTTAGGTTTTTTGGACATTGCAAGTCAAACTGAGGATCTTCAACGTCTCGAACTTCCTTGTACTATTATAAAGGCTTGAAAGACGCGACTATTTCATAACTAACAGTGAAACTATGGTATGCCAAAACTGTGCTTTTTTGTGCCCTGCCAGTCCTAAACTGACTAATGCGCAAGTATAAGGTGATAAAAATCAAGGACCAGGAAACACTCTGTATTCATTTTTTCTGAGAAAGCAGGATTAGTCAGACCTCTTCTTTCCCTGCTCACAAACTGCGTCAAAGCTTATTCAATTATCTGGTGAGCCTAAGCAGGCTGCCAAACCTTTTGTGTGTGTGTGTGTGTGTGTGTGTGTGTGTGTGTGTGTGTGTGACATGGAGCACCTGTGCGTTCGACAGAAGAGTATGTTGTTTTCCGCACAAACCGTTTCATGCATGCGCACAAGAAGTCCTGTATTCTGTTACGAAAAGCCTCTGAGAGATTAAACTCGCATCTTCAACTCCCATTTTCTTTAAAGTGTCTGTCAGAAGGAGGGGGCAACAGTAACCAAGAGGAAAAAGATCCAGTTGGAGATGAAAACTGATTACTTCCTCAGGCAAGGGCGGAAGTAACTTCCAATTTAGAACCAGTTAACCGTGAGTAAACGTCTCAAATGAAACCGGTTAAAGGCAGTTGGGCTTGCTTTGCACTAGCAGGTGCAAAAAGACGGCACTTGAAATTGGATTTCGCAATGCATCTTCACGAGAGCCCTCTGATGCATTGAACCTTGACGGTGTTATTACTGTGGTGCAGAAAACACAGCTGAGGATGATTACGGTTCGGATAGGTGTCGAGCGTGTGGGCTATTCACGGGAGTTAAAGTCTAGTTGGTGATGGACCAGGGCAAATTGAGAAGGGAGGGCAGTATGTCTGGCTGCACTTTTCGTAACTCCTACATTACGGGCTCCAGCCACTGTCCGTAAATGTCTATTTTAAACTCTGCTTACTAGCTGATTGGACGCAGTCTCAGCAACGAGAATTGTCTGCCCTCGATTACTCACCGGTCGGTAATATGGCATGCTGCATAGTCAAGGGTTACGTCAAGGACGACACCGACCACACTGGGCTGGGCAGCCGGAAATCTTATCTAGGGTTTGGCCACTTTTCCACACGTGCAATGTCTGTTAGGAGCCAGAAGATGCCTTACACATTTTCCAGCTCGGTTGGGGAGACCACGGGACAGGGGATCTTTTAAAAGTACTCATCCGGTTGTCCCTGCCCCAACTCCACATCTCCTAGAGGTATCCCATTTAAAACACTACGTGTTCTTTGCGAGGCAGAGATATCTGGACGACGACCTATATGCAACCAGACGTGGTACACTTGTTGTGGCTGCTATTTCGTGCTAATTATATGGCAGGTAAAAGCATGCGAGTTTTAAAAGAGAAATGTCGAGACTGAAAATGTAATTGCTGATAGTTAAAAAACGCGACTTAGAGAACTAATATTTGCGAAAATGCTAGTTTGCTGTCTAATGTAGCAAAAACGAGCATCCGTTACCTAAAATCATACGATAATAAATTTAAACTCAAACTGTTAAGCCCACGTGTTAGATAGCACTTTCTTTTTTCAAGAGTATTTATTTTAACGAAATCATATTGCTTTTTTAAATGCACACAGTTTCTTTAGGGAACAAGCGTTTCTTTCTGCGTCTTGAATAATGTTAGCCAACAAAGCGTGTGAGACTCTGTTTTCTGTATTTCCTGATAGCTGCGACGACGACGACGACAACGACGATAGTGGTGGTGGCAGTGATGGTGGTGGTGCTGATGGTGTTGGTGGTGGTGGCGGCGGCGGCGGCGGCGGCGGCGGCGGCGGTGGTGGTGGTGGTGGTAATAACAATGAAAGCGGACGGTGCTCGGAGATCACCAAGAATCACTACAAGGTAAAGCTGGGCACTACAGTTTTCCCCAATATCAAGGATTCAAGGATGGAGTCTTAATTTTCCTAACATGTATAGTTGATGGGAGTGCTGGGCAAAAAACGCAACTGTACCAACTCCTCTACTCTACTAACGGGTTCAGCTGACTGCCCTGTTTGCACCAAATACAGCAAGATACCATTCAACCGACCAAGACTTAACCTAGAGTAGGTCTTGAAACCATGGAATAATGAAAATAGCAAAATATCATGAATTCTTTTCTAGACGCTAAGGTTGGACTTCAACTTTTTTTTAATTCATCGAAGCAAGACCTTTTTTATTAAAAGAAGGACATTTCACTTCCATCTGCGCCTCGCATAGTTCACTGGCAAGTCAGCTGCTGCACTTTAGGGTTGTGAGTATTAGCAGCAGCAGCAACTGCGCAGTGGGCATCATCCAGCTTGGGTTCCGAGTACTTTTCAGAGTCGCTAGACACAGAAAGCCATTTTTATAATGTACACAAAAAGCACGGCAGGCTGTGCTCAGAGAGTGGCCACTCAAAGTTTGATGCTAGTGCTGACATTGCTGATAATTTCAGCAGTTACTCACTCCACCGAAGTCAGTGTCAGTTAAATGCTATCTGAGTTAAGGGGGAGGGAGAGTAAGAACAAAGTAAAGATTATTTGACTAGGAACCCTTTATCCTCTTAAGGTGTTTAAATGAGGTGCACGATGTATGCTTAGTCGCAACTGAACCATAACGCTAACGCAGACTAAGACAGACAGAGGCTTCCTGCACTGGTGCTGGTATGAGCGTCTGGTTAAGTCTCTGAGTGATCTTAGGCAGTTGCTTTGCTATGTCCTGAAAACGTTACAACTGGACTGCTGGGTCCTCCCAGTCTTTGCTGGGTAGATATCACTATATTCAAGACAGTAGTTCAGGAGTACGACATGCTCTAGCATTGGTATGGCCTATCTAGCTGACAGCGTGCATAAAACAAACGCAAAGACGTATCTGGAGTTGTGTACCGCGTATCAGCTAACCGCGCAAAAACATGCCGGTAACGGTGGAGGTGGTCGCTATACACCCCTGTTGTGCTGGCAGGAGTTCTTCATCAGGTCCTCTCAAAGACCAGTGCCAAGATCGATCGAAAAGTTTCGCTGGCGGACAGGGCGACTGACTTACCAAAGAGAATGACATATCATTTAATCAACCAGTCAACCTTCCACCCACACCAGTTCTCCAGTAATGCCTCAGTTAAGCTGGCCTAGTCTAACTCCTCCTCCAGCCCAATAGGGCCTAGCCTTGACGTTCCACTCCTCTCCCTAAAAGCATTATCTCTCCAAAATCAGAAAAATCCTGGGTGGACTGCGCCTACTTGTTAGCCTAACTAGGCGTAATCAGGGTGTCTACAGGTGGTGGCAAATGAACCAACCTTTAATGAAAGCCAACTGTGTAGTAGGCAGGCTCCCTATTCAGGACCCTCTTGCAGTCATTGATCCTGTTGCCGACCTATCGCTTACTACGCTGTCTGCCATTGCAGCAAGTGCCGCTGGTAATAAAATGGGAAAAATGTACATTTGTCTTGTCAGATTTTTTAAATTATCAGCGAGTAGATAGTAACACGAAACCTGCAAAAGACTTTACTATTTCAGCCATTTTCTGGAAACCATAATTTGCAGTGTGTCTAGGACTTACAGGCCGCATACATAGAAAACTTAAATAATGTATGTACATACATGCACTTTTATTTACAAGGCTGCACCTCAGCAAAGCGACCCAACCATTCGCACGAAAGTTCCCGAAACGTGCCCGCAAGCACGCGGACGGTACAGCGATGCAACTGTGAGCAAAGTATTAATTTCTTTTCAGTATACGGTCAGACGAAAAGGCTGGCGACGCGTCCATTTGAGATGGGCAAATGTCACTTTTCCTAAATGGAGCAATTTCTGCACAAAATGCAGTTATGGGAATGTCGTAAATACTATCATTTGTAGAAAGTATGTAGAAGGGAACATCTCTAATTATGGCAGGCACTCACCGAACTGGCTGGCGTTAGGTCACAGCCTAGAGCGAGCCATGAAGAGGCGAAATCTGTCGTCATACAGGAAGAAAATACTGCGCAGCGGTCCTTAGATGATTAGATGCATAAGAGCTGCAGTTATTGCACCTTGTTGCCATGCCTAGAGGGAGAGTCCGTGTTCAATATTTCTTGCTCGATCAAAAATGTGTTCTCAGAGAATAAACAGAACGTCGCTCGTCTGATAATTTATCAGGCTAAATCTTTGTCTCTGCGCAACCAAACGCACCGTGCGCGGACAATAAATTTCCCTTATTGATATCGTAATAAGCAGTCTTTTAGCCAAATGCTTTCGGTCATTTATTGTCGAAACGCGTGGGTGGCAAAAGGAAGTATTTGTTTCCATGAGCCCTGTTGCATTCCATAGAAAGAAAACTAGTGTTCAGTCTTCTTTGTCAAGGCATATATTTGCGCCTTCGAGACAATAAATGACCAAGTCTATTTTCTCAAAAGCGCTCTTGTAAGAGATGGACACTCTGGAGAGCTAATCAAGCAACAGTGTTGCTTAAAAAGCCATATGGGTGTTAAATAAATACAAGGTGATCTGCTAAGGAAAAGGATTGAGAGTCTGGCCCTAAACAGGATAGTCCACTAGACCGTCGCTCTAGTGTAATGACTTTTGACAGAGAATTCACAGCACATTTTAACGGGCCATCGGTACTGCTAGCAACGAAGATAGCTGCCTCCGTACATAATTCAAAAGAGCTGAAAAACTACAGGCACTGGGAGATCAAACAGTCGAATTCAACCGCCTCAAGACCAACCTATACCCAAGTCATTAAAGCGAGAAATGTAAACGTCGAACGAATACGGGACGGCCAAAGAGGTAACAAGTCGCAGTCTGAACGGCAATTTCTTACATCAAAGGAGTCGCCAATTCGGTTTCATGACTGTTAACACCCGCGGGGTACTCGGGAAGCATGAACCATAGGGCACACTAAGTCGCTGTGTGGTGCCACCTGAGTACATACTGGCATCTACCAAAACTTCGGTACTTACATATCTACATAATGTCTTGCAGTGATGGAAACAGCACCTGTGCTGGGGAAAAAAATCGAAAATGACATACCCGCCTACATGAGCAGAGACGGCAATTCGGTGGCTAGACTGCAGTTCGTAACTTTCAGCACACAGGAAAAATTGCAATATTTCCGATAAAAGGAGTTGAAATAGAGGAGTAGTTCTTAGATGCCGACCGCATCAATAGGCACACTGTTTTTCCCCTGCATGTGTCGTCGACTTAACGAAGACCAAGACAAGATGCCCCCATCAAGATTGAAAAAATATAATAGAGACAACCCAACAGCTTTCTCACTCGAGGGGGAAGTGGTAGTGCCATTAGAGTGGGCAACCACTGTAGAGGCCAAATTACCCCCCGTTCAGGTGACGCAGGAAACTTGGACCAGCCAAACTTTCAGCAAAGGGCGAGGCATAAAAAGAGGAAGGAAATAGATCAGTCCAAGGCCGACTAGTTTGACAAGTTATTTGAATTTCAACTATTTCTTCTCAAAAACGTTTATCCCAGGAGAGCGGTTTCACCCGTTGTTTGCCGTTGTCGGCAGTGCAACCGCCTAGATGTGTGGCGCATCGGGTGCGCAGAGCCAAGTACATTGTGCCTGAACGTGGATTCTACCCTGACGTTCGGGGCACTTTTCGTACACACACATTCATTCCTCAAAGTTAGTCAGAGAACACTGTATTCCATGGGGTGAGCTGCTTTAGCTGAGTGATGACGCTGTCAATCTTGTACTTCTCTGTTACCGGAATTGAGCTAAATAGTCACTTTAACCGCAGGACAGACTCAACGGAAATAACAGCTGATGGACAGCTCCGAACAGGTACTCACGTCCTCTTACTCTCTAGTCCTCCAACCTACCAAAAAATGCACTTGATCGAAGTCATTGGCATCCCATATGCTGCCAAGCCTAATGGACCTAACTGCCTTGTTTCGGGGGATGCAGTTGTCTTCTACCAAGGACAATCTTTTATACGGCTCTGGGGAATGACACATGCGCTCAGAGGATGTCCGCCGGTTTTAAATGGTCGGTAAGATCGCAGTTGGCAGCCAGACACTATACGGTGATACTGTCAACGTACGTACTTGTTATCAGTAGGTGTGCTTACCTTGTCTAGGGAACTCGTTATCAGTAGGTGTGCTCTGAGTTAGGCAGGTCGCCCGTTCCGGTCAGGCTGTTGGGTTAGTTAGGGTTAGGGTTAGGCGTAGGTTAAGTTTTAGGATTACGGTTTGCGTTTTAGGACCAGGTTTCAGTGTTAGGGTTAGGATTTAGGTTCCCGTTAGGGTTACGCTTTGGGTTGAGGCTAGAGTAAGGTTTAGGCTTAATATTACGGTTAGGCTCAAGGTAAGGGTTAGAGTTAGGCTTAAGACTAGGGTCAGGGTTAAGGTTAGGGTTAAGGTTAGAGTTAGGGTTAGGGTTAAGATAAGGGTTAGGTTTAAGGTCAGGGTTAGGGTTAGGTTTAAGGTTAGGGTTAGGCTTAAGGTTAGGTTTAAGGCTAGGGCTAGGGTTAGGCCTAAGGCTAGGGTTAGGTTTAAGGTTAGTTTAAGGGGTAATGTTAGGGTTAGGGTTAGATTTAAGGTTAGGGTTATGGTTTGGTTTAGGGTTGGTGTTAGGGTTAGGTTCAGGTTTAAGCTCAGGGTTAGTTTTAGAGTTAAGATTAGGGTTATGGTTAGGGTGAGATTTAAGTTTATGTCTAGGGTGTCTGCTAACTTTATGCTTAGGTTTAAGTTTTTGTTTAGGGTTAGTGTTACTTTTAGGCTTAATTCTAGGTTTAGGGTTAGGTTTAGGGTTAGTGTTTGGGTTATGTTTATGCTTACGGTTAGGTTTAGAGTTAGGATTAGGGTTATGGTTAGGGTCGGGTTTAAGTTTATGGTTAGGTTAAGTTAAGGGTTAGGGTTCGGGTTGGGGTTAGTCTTTAGTCTAGGGTTAGGCTTAAGTCTAGGACTAGGGTAAGCTTTAGGGTTAGGGTTATGGTTAGGTTTTGG